CTGACGGCCGGAGGCGCGGCGGCTGCGGGCCGGGCGGCGGGCGAGCGGGGGAAGATGGCGGAGCTGGGCAAGAAGTACTGCGTGTACTGCCTGGCCGAGGTGAGCCCGCTGCGCTTCCGCTGCACCGAGTGCCAGGACATCGAGCTGTGCCCCGAGTGCTTCTCGGCTGGCGCGGAGATCGGCCACCACCGCCGCTACCACGGCTACCAGCTGGTGGACGGCGGACGATTCACTCTCTGGGGGCCTGAGGCGGAGGGCGGCTGGACCAGCCGCGAGGAGCAGCTGCTGTTGGACGCCATCGAGCAGTTCGGCTTCGGCAACTGGGTGAGCAGCGGGCCCTAGCTAGAAGGAGGGCATGGCTGGCTGGGTGGGTGCACACTGCGGAGGGCCTCAGGTGGCCGGGCTGTATTGCCCGGGGAATGTTGGGTGCCTGCGGCCATACAGCTGGTAGAGCAGGGCCTTGACCTGTGGCCCTGACATGGAGCTGTCTGCCCTTCACCTCGTCCTCAGAAGGTGTGCATTGAACACGGGCGGAGGGTAGGCCTTGTGCCTTGCCAAGCTTCTCGAGCCAGATGGCAGCAAGCTAGACCCCACGGTGCCTACTGAGATCCCTGGTAGGGTTGGGTTCTCCTGGGCACAGTGATGAAGGCCAGAAGCCTGGGCTGCCCATCCCTTAGTCTGCATTCAGGGCTTCGTGTGCTTTCTGTGGGTGTCAGCATGTGCCTAGTGCTAGGGTTCTCTGTGGGTACCAGTGTCTTGTTTAAATCTTGTTCTCCACAGTACCCAGGACATGGTGTGATGGGTGGCCACTAAAGAATGAACAAAGGCGTCTTCCTGAGGAGGCATGGAGCCAGGGGTCCACTTTCTAGTGGTCAGGTTTCTGTAGAGGTGACTTGCTGCTGGCAAAGAGCATTGGTGTACCAGCCAGATAGTGCACTGGGCTCCTGGTTGTTGTCTAGGGATCTCTAAGGAGCTCTCCTTCTATTCCTCACCTGTATTAGGGAAGAGCTCTGTCTGCATTGTCACCATTACCACCGAGCACATGTAGCATCTTCAACCTTTCAGAGAAGCAGGGAGCTAAGCCTGACCCTGCTCTGTCCAGACTCTTCCCCAGTATGGTAGGGTCCTGCTTCTCTGAGCTTCCCTACTCCAGCCATACTGCCCTCCTATTCCAGGTTATCACACAGTGAATGACCTTCTGGACCCACCTCCCCCACCTAAGATTCTGCTCTCCAGAAAACATCTGGTTGCTTTGCCTAGAAGTGGAGTTTGTTGTGTAGTGAGCATTTGCTTTGTACTTATCAAGCACCCTGAAGAAGAGCCTCAGAGCTGAAAATGTTGCGTTCGTTTGCTCTGTTCCTGGAGCTTGTTTCTTACTTGATGGCTTCCATCCCTCTCTACCTGATTGCCCTTGGTGACCTAGCCTCACTTTGTCCTCAGCTTCAGAGCCAACTTAAAGCCTTCATCCACCTCCAATTGGTCAGCTGTCATCTGTTTAAAAACTGTGCAGACTGAAGCTGCCGATTGTGACCTGAACCGCTTTGGCATTTACCTCTTGCTGTGACCACTTCTCATGGTTTACCTGCTTTCTCCTTTTGTTCTATAGTTCTGCTCTCACCAACACAGGACTTTTAAAACGTAAACTGCGTCTCTTTGACCCTCAGCAACTAACTTCTAGCTCTACTTAGAGTACGCTGCAAAGCCTGACCTTTGGTTGCCTATGGTTGCCTATGGTTGCCTGTGTCTATGGTTCTCAAGCTTCTACCCTTGACCAATTTTCCTTTCTTCTGCCTGAAGTGCCTTTACTCTAGTCAAGACTCCCGACTGATCTTTGTTCTTACATGTCACTGCTGAAGAGAGACTTTCCTCCCTCGCGTCATCCCTTTAGCACTTATCTCCAGAGCAGCCACTGAAATGAGTGAAAGTACTAGTTTCGGGGAGCCCAGCACTAAGCTCGCTTTATCTCTTGAAACCTGGGCTATTCTTAGGGAACTCTGTGGAAGAGGAGGCAAGAAGTGTAAGAGCTGGAGGGGAGGGAGAGCAGGGCCCTCTAATCAAGTTAAGCAAAGCTCATGTGAACTCACAGAGATTGAAGCAGCAAGCACAGGGCCAACATGGGTCTGCACCCGGTTCTCTGTGTATAGATTATAGCTTTCAGGTTAGCGTTTTTATGGGACTCCTGAGTGTGTGAATTAGTGGGGCACTGATTCTTGTGACTTTTCTTGGGGCTCTTTTCCTTTATTGGTTTGCCTTGTCCAACTTCGATGTGATGGTTTTTGTTCTATCATCACAGTTTATTCTGTTAAAGAAAAGAAATCTTGGACTGTAGAGTCCATACATCAACTAGTGTTTGTGCCCCTTTCATGCAGCAGTCAGAAGCAGACAGCGCCCAGGAACTAAAGCATGTAAAATGTGGATGAATGAACGCGGGGTGGGGAAGGCCTCTTCTGAAGCAGCGTTTTCTGGCTTTAAGGCCAGAGGAGCTTGAGATACAGTTCTCATGAGGCCCAGACTCAGCTTTGAAAGAAGTGAAGCCCAAAGGGAAGAGTCTTGGGGCTTGGCTGCCAGTCTGAGAGATGCACCACTGATCCTCACACAGGATAGAGGAGGGTTTGTGACCCTGCTCCCCGTGTTTTCTTAGGCCAGTTGCCTTATTCCTCTGAGCCTTGTTTTCTTCACTAGAGGCACCACAGCTTGGATATGCGGTTCTTTTTTGAGCTTGTATGCTACAGAAGTCCCAGTATGGACCTGTGTAGAGCCTCTGCCAGCTCTGTGCAGTACCCTTTATGTACACAAGTCATGTGACTTGCACAAGCAACACTGCGGGGTGAATTTATGTTCTACTTTGCAATTGAAAGACAGCAACTGTGAGAATCTAAGCCGCTTGCCAAGAACTTTATAGCTTTGCACATGATGACTAGGTGTGATTATAGTCTGGGCTTCCACTACAGCACTAAGAGCATTAAGTACTGTGGTTGGAGACCAGAAGCTTACTGGTACAGTTGGTGGTGTGGTGCTACCAGAAAGCTTTACACAGGGTCTGATTGGGATCTGTACCACAGAAAAGTCACAGAAGGGAGGATACCATAGTAGGGAGATTGAGGAAAGAGATGGGTGGCCCTCAACAACACACATAGGTCAGGCCTGCCAGGATGCTCAGAGCCTCCAGACAGCTACACTGTGGTGGACTCTGCTGGTTGGATGATGCAGGACCTCTGGAACGTGTGAGCACAGACATGTAGACATGCAGTTCAGGGTGATTAGAACCTTTGGTAGATGAGTCTCCAATTTTGTTACCTGGCTGTAAAGACTGTCAGAGAGGAGACAGTTTGAGAGGACCAGCTCCTCTCCAGGGGCATCCAGTAGAGGGAAGTGGGGCTTGGCCAGCTTATGTAGTTTTGGATGTAGTAAGAGGAACCAGTGGAGAGGTTCTCATGCCTAGGGACAGGTGGAGTAGCCTGGGTAGTACTTCTTCCCTCTGGATGACAGTTGACATGCCCAGTGTGTGGATTGCTGCATCGTTTGTTCATTCCTCTATCCACTGGCATGTGCTCAACAATCTGCTATGTGCTAGCCCATATGGAAAGACACTGCTAGGACAGCTGTCCTTGCAGCCTGGGTGAGTAGACTCCACGTCCAATGGTGAGAAGGACTAGAAAAGACTGTGTGGGTGGGAAGGTAGCATAGAGGAAGGAGGTATTTTGTGTTCTAGGAGTTGGTTGTGTTTGTGAGCTAGGCAGAAGCTGGCTTGCTGCAAGTGGAAGGCTGAAGATGAGGACTCTTCCTGTCTGGTGTCGCATGCAAGCTTGACTATAGTCATGACTGGAAAAGCCGTAAGCCCCAGCCAGTGTGTGGTTGGAGTATTAAAAGCTGTTTCCCACTCCTTGTGCTAGATGCCAGACTGGGCTATGATGGGGGTGTTAAGGTTGATGCCTATTTCCTAGTTCCAGGTCTCAAGGCAGACATGTTGCATTGTTCCCTCACTTTTACAGTTTTTCAAATTCTGGTGCTCCCCACTTACTGATGAAAAGCAAATGTATTGAAGGATGAGCCCAGCTAGAGTCTGGGCCAGGTCTTTGTGGTTCATGTCTCACTGGGACAGTGGCAGCCTAGCACAGACCTGCTGGTGCCAGCTACCAGCCAGACACAGACTTGTCATCTATAGAATCTCAGGGACCTAAAAAGGCTATAGGACCATCTGCCTTTTCACCAGGTGGCTTACTTAGTTAGAAGTTCTATTGCTGTGAAGAGAAGCCATGACCATGGCGACCATGGCTACTCTTATTTTAAAAAAAAACACAAAAAACATTTAATTGGGGTGACTTATATTTTCAGAGGTTTAGTCCAGTATCGTCATGACAGGAATGGAGGTGTGCAGGCAGACATGGTATGGTACTGGTTACATCTTGATCAAAAGGTAACAGGAAGTGGACTGAACCACTGGGTGTGACTTAAGCATATATGAGACCTGAAAGCCCACCTCCACAGTGATACACTTCCTCCAACAAGGCCACACCACCT